AGGCTAAAAGTCAGACCTTCCCTCCTTTGTAGTCATAAACCAGTCAGTTCAATCATTCTTGCTCTCTTTCAGATTCTGTCAATCTTTACTTTTCTGTGCAGATTATCACAAGCTATGATATACCATCTCTACCAGTTTTAGTTTTTATTATCTAACAAATAATCAGAATCTGTGTTGTTACAGGAGAGAAATCTGGTCTTGTCTCTTTTTAAGCATTTTCAGTTTCTAAACACCATGAATCAATTTGTTTGTTTGTTTCAGCAGTGATTGTAAGATGGCTTTGGATGTACCCCTCTTGATAGGGAAAGCTGTAATGATTTCTTGAGGAAAAGATGTTGTATTGCAGCAGTAGCTGCCTACGGCCATTATATGTGGAAGGTAAAATGTTGGTGAAGCTGTGTTGTACTCCTCCTCCCTTCCTTCTCAATGAACACAACTCATCAGTCCTTTCTGATGACGATAGTTCTGTATCCTGTTCCCACACTACAGGCAACTCATGCAAGGAAGGAGCATCAGTAATGCTTGGAAGTGCTACTTCTGTTCCGTCTGTGGCTTTCAGGCACACTGAGTTTGAGGACTGTACCTCAAGCCACATCATCACTCTGAGCCTCTTGACCTTGACGTACTTTCTGTGCATTCAAAATATCCAGTGATTGTGTATGGGGAACATTATGTCTCCCTTAGTTAAAAATTTAATTTCTAAGGCCTTTTCATTTAGTCCAGACTATTTTTATCCTTTCCCTTGTTCTTTCTTTCCCTTCATCTCTGCTGAATGCATGCAGATACTAAGGCTGTCCAAAGTGGAGCAGAAGTCTGGGAATATCCTCTAGCAGTTCAGGGCAAGAAATTCTGAACCAATTCAGAGTGACTAATACCATCCCATAAGAAGAAAATTAGTTGTTCTCACTGTGTTTGTACCTTAATTTTCCAGTATACATGAAGGGCAAAATGGTCACTTTGTATTGTATTTTACTTGTCTTTTCTACAGGAGTGAAAATGGAAGAATTTCTCCCGCCCGGTGCTAGTCTGAAATGCACAGTTTGTACTTACACTGCAGACTCGGTGATTAACTTTCATCAGCACCTGTTCTCGCATCTTACGCAAGCTGCCTTTAGATGCAATCACTGCCATTTTGGCTTCCAAACTCAGAGGGAGCTACTGCAGCACCAAGAGTTACATGTCTCTGGCAACAAGATTCAGAGAGAAAGTGACATTGAACACTCTCCAAGTAGAAACGAAGAGGGTTTGCAGCCAGCAACGGACCTGTTGAGCAGAAATGATGTTCCCCAGAGCCAAAAGACCATGCAGACTAAAGATGCAAGTTCTGATACAGAGCTTGATAAATGTGAAAAAAAGGCTCCACTTTTCCTTCCAAACCAGAGGCCAGAAACACAGCCTACAACAAATAAGCAGAGTTTTTCATACACTAAAATAAAATCTGAACCATCCAGTCCAAGACTTGCTTCATCGCCAGTTCAGCCTAATATTGGTCCTTCTTTCCCAATGGGACCTTTTCTTTCCCAGTTTGCTTTTCCCCAGGACATCACTGTGGTTCCTCAGGCTTCCGAGATATTAGCCAAAATGTCTGAACTGGTCCATCGAAGACTGAGGCATGGAAGTAGCAATTATCCTCCCGTAATTTACAGTCCTTTGATGCCCAAAGGGGCTACATGTTTTGAGTGTAACATAACATTCAATAATTTGGACAACTACTTGGTACACAAAAAGCATTACTGCAGCAGCCGATGGCAGCAGATGGCAAAGTCTCCAGATTTTTCCAGTGCTCCAGAAAAAATGCCAGAAGCTGTAAGTCCCAGTAACGGTCAAAGCTCTATAAACATCCTGAATGCAGCTCCTCACACATCAGATCCAGAGAATCAACTTCTGCAGACATCTTGCATAAACTCTTCCAATGTTTTAGATTTGATTGGGCCAAACAATAAAAGTCACGAAAAAGATTTTACAGCACAGCCTAAGAAGTTGTCAGCTGCAAGCAACGGCGATGAGAAGATAAATGGAAAACCTTCTGATGTGAAGAATCCCAATGCTCCTTTAGTAGAAGGGGAGAGTGATCCTAACAAGACAACGTGTGAAGCTTGTAATATTACTTTCAGCAGACATGAAACGTACATGGTCCACAAGCAGTATTACTGTGCCACTCGCCACGATCCCCCGCTGAAGAGGTCCGCTTCCAACAAAGTGCCTGCCATGCAGAGAACAATGCGTACCCGGAAGCGAAGGAAGATGTATGAGATGTGCCTACCAGAGCAAGAGCAAAGGCCACCGCTAGTTCAACAGCGATTTCTAGAAGTGGCTAATCTCGGCAATCCTTGTACATCTACTCAAGAGTCAACAGAAGGCCTTGGAGAATGTTACCATCCACGATGTGATATCTTTCCAGGAATAGTCTCAAAGCATCTGGAAACATCACTGTCTATCAATAAGTGCGTTCCAGTTTCAAAGTGTGATACTCCCCACTCCACTGTGTCTTGCTTGGAGATGGATGTGCCAATAGATCTCAGTAAAAAATGCTTACCCCCATCAGAGAGAACGTCCACTTCTCCCAAAAGGCTGCTGGACTACCATGAGTGCACAGTATGCAAGATCAGTTTTAACAAGGTCGAGAATTACCTGGCTCACAAGCAGAATTTTTGCCCTGTCACAGCCCATCAGCGTAACGACCTGGGGCAGCTCGACAGTAAAGTGTTTCAAAACCCAGAAAGTGAAAGAAACAGCCCAGATGTCAGTTACGAAAGAAGCATAATCAAATGTGAAAAAAACGGAAACTCGAAACAGTCCTCTCCTAACGGAAACTTATTTTCCACACACTTAGCAACACTTCAAGGACTAAAAGTCTTTAGTGAAGCGGCCCAGCTTATTGCTACAAAAGAAGAAAACAAACATTTGTTTCTTCCACAATGCCTTTACCCTGGAGCAATAAAGAAAGTTAAAGGAGCAGATCAGCTTTCTCCATATTATGGAATAAAGCCAAGTGATTACATTTCTGGTTCTCTCGTCATTCATAATACTGATTTAGATCAAAGCACAAATACAGGAAGTGAATCTCCTAAAGGCCAGGCACCTTCCAATGGATGTGCTGTGCAGAAGAAAGAGTCTCTTCCACTATTGCCGAAAAACCGAGGCATGGTAATAGTTAATGGGGGACTGAAACAGGAGGAAAGACCTGCCGCAAACTCACAGCAAGAGAACATTTCCCAGAACCCTCCGCATGAAGATGGGCACAAGTCTCCTTCTTGGATCTCTGAGAATCCCTTAACTGCAAATGAAAATGTCTCTCCAGCAATTCCTACAGCAGAGGAACAGTTGTCTAGTATAGCTAAAGGCGTGAATGGTTCTACCCAGGCCCCAACCAGTGGAAAGTATTGCCGACTGTGTGACATCCAGTTCAACAACCTTTCAAACTTTATAACTCATAAGAAGTTTTATTGCTCATCACATGCAGCAGAACATGTCAAATGAAACAGTTGGTCGGTCACCTTTGGTACCTGTGTTTAGCATATTGTTCCATACAGTCTAAAGAAAGCTGTTTGAATTACATCTGGACAATCAGGAGATTTCACTATTGCTGAGTTGAAGAATTAAAGGTGTAATTTCATTACAGTCCATTAGTAAAGTGTATTATTGGTGCCATTTTCAAAAATATTAATTTATTTTACCAGCAGTATTCATAGCTGTAGTTATGTTATTTTTTATTTAAAAACTTTATATTAAAGTCATTTGTAATGTTATTGTATAGTTATTGTGTAGCACATATGGTTTGCACTGTATAGTAGATTTTAAAGAAAATAGTCACAAACAATACAGAAAAGCATTTTAGAAATAGCTTCAAAAGCACTTGTGTATCCTGATTTTTTTTCTTATATGCTGTTGCAGATATATGTATATGCTAAAATATAACTTGCAAAGAAGTTTCAACTATGCTGTAAAGTTCGCCTTAAAATTTCAATTTTTTGAACAATTGGGCTCAGTTTGCACTTTATATTTTAGCAGATACAGTACCTTAGTCATTAGGCTTTGCATTTGTATGTAGCAGTATGTTTCTGTCCACTTTCTTAATCTGAAACGTACGTTAAATGAAGATGGCAATTTTTTTCTTGTATAGTACTTGTATTTTCTTTCGCTGATGCATCTCTGTCTCAATTTTTAAACCTTTGCTGTTAAATGCAATACTTTATAAAGAATGAACAAAATTACTGGAAGCAGTATTGTAAGTAATGAGGTCATATCAATCAGTTTTATCTTTCGAAAGGCACAGTCTAAAACAAAACCCTAAACTCAATGCTGCAATTATGAATCTAATTCATATATAAGATATATTTAAATATAAGAGTAGCAATACTGCAACTGGTGATCACAAAGATAATGTTCTACTTCTGATAGAAATAATTTCTCAACAAATGTTGTTACTATGCATGTATATGGATGGAATAAAATTCCAGATCATTGGAGCTGTTTGGCAGTAATTTCTTTAAATTTGTTTTGTTTTTCAAGGAGGATTTAGAGCTCACAAGCTGTAAAGAAGCTCTTAGGAACAGGTTAACGTTGCCCCCCTCTTCAATGGAAGCAAAATGTTCAGAGAGAAAATGAGTACAAAGGATTCCTCTTCTTCAAGGGAGTCCTTGCTGACAGGTCACTAATATGACTGAGTCTAAGATGACCTAATGAACTAACACCTAAAATGTGAAGGTCTAAAACAAGGAAGGCTGTTCCCTTCATTGGAGCTAAGGAAGACATACTTCCCTGACAGTACCTCCATATGTGAAAATCAGTGGAACAATCTGCTTCATAACATCTTTGGTATGATTCTGTATGTGTTCAGTGGTCCTACGTGAAAAACAGTAACATCCATTTAAATAGAACAGCAGTTTGCTTCACTAATTCAATATAGAAATACTATTGAATAATTTATGTTATATTAAAATCTGAAGTAATGCACAATTTAATACCCTTCACTTGCAATTGTTCAGTCTCCTGTACACTGTTTTCATAAAAAAGATGGATACTATGAAAGTAACCTATTGATGATGCATTTTTCTTCCTACGAATTTGAAAGCAAAGCCATGTCCTGAACAGTCACATAAAAAGTTGCATTTAATTTAGTTCCTATATCAGCCAAAGAAACAATGCAGAATCAACTACATAAAAGGGTGATATTTCAACTAAGCCTCCAGTTGGAGTCTAGCGTAAGAGTATGCAATACCACTGACTTTCAGCAATACCATCCCTGTGTACTTTGAAACTGAATTCATCCTTTTTTTATTTGTAAGTGAAAGTGAACAGGTGCATATGATCCAGTAGCAAAAATAATAAACACTTCAAAAACTGTATTTACGACTCTGGTGGTTAGCTGGGCTTTAAATACAGAACAAGAGTGCTTAAAATTATGCTTATTCTCACTCTGAACAAAGACAACAGGTCTATACATTAATATCAGTAGGGCCAGAATTGATCCTATAGCAAATACTTTGGGTAATAGGTCTTGTGAAGGAGAAGTAGTGTCACAAATACAGGGAGAACAAAACAGACAAATCATTCATGATTATCAATTAAACATTTTTTAGAAAATACGACACCAATATATCTAAGACTCCACAATATTTAAGATAGATGGTACATTTTGACCTTCTGGGTGGCAAACATTATTTTGAAGATTATCCATCATACAAAATTGGTTTAAAGAACTAAGCGGTTACATCTGGATTGACATAAGTGAATTCTGGAAGATCTACCTGCATAGACAAAAACTTTCAGGTGAAGTTGGTCAGAAAGCCACAGATAGTGTAATTTATAATTGCGGAGCTCTAGGGGTGCATTTAGACTGTGAGAAAGTAAAAGAGAATATCAGGGTTAAAGGGAGGACCTAGCTGAAAAGTGGTACCGAAAGGGAAACCCCTTATCACAAAACATTTCTGATCTGGAAATCCTGAGGGTACCTGGTACATTGCAGAGGTAAATTAAAGCCTGCCATGCTGCATTATAGTCTACCCACTGGCTAGTCCAATTGCTTTCACACGACAGAATATACCTGGTAGCATTTTCTCTTTATAAATCACCTATTTGGTTGACAGGCCCCATTTTCACAAGTTCAAAACAAGCACAACCTGTTCATCTGTGGGTAAAGAGTTACTCTATTTTATACACATTTTACACAGTTTACTCACTTCACTGGAGCACCTAGCAATTCTGACACGTGCTAACCCCCAAAGCTATACCTTCACACTCTCTGAAAGTAAACCTTTACACTGGCCAGGTGGGTAGCAGATGTAGCTTACTGTCATTTGATTTCTTATATACTTGTTAAAAATAGAAAGCATTTAATCTTTTCTATAGCTGCTCCAATAGCAGGGGTGAGGAACCATGCTTTCCCATAACTTTACACACTATTTTCTGTTTTTTCACTTTCTTTATTGCACCCATTTTTTAATTTGCTTATTTGAAATAAGAACATAAACACTTTGGCCAGACAGAAATCTCCCTCCTGTGTCTTAAACCAGTTTGCACAGTACTGGCCTAATCCCAGCTGGGAGCTTTAAGCACATCTATGTTTAAATCATAGGTATTGTTTACAGGAATAAATTACTTAAGCCTGTTTTCTGACCAAGTGATTATTTGTATTCTCTTCAGATTATATCTATGCATTTGTTCAATGATAAATAATAGAACAGGTGAACTGCTTATTGCTAAAAACTCCTCTTCCCTAGTTCTGCTTTTGCATTTTTGTAGGTTTATTAATTATTTATCAAATCACCTATGCAAAGAGAGTCCATCCTTAGTGAGTCTTTGACACCTGGAACTCGGCAGGAAGCAGAGCACCTCGGTTAAATAGTTTGGATCCGCTAATCCCTGTCAGCTGGAGACAGTGAATAAATCTTTGGAGATATCAAGTGGAGATGAATAGCTCAACAGAAGGCATTAAAATATTTCCTGGTTTTATGATACAAAAAATAAAATTGGTCCACATAAAGGCCCAATATTTAGAAGAGCCAAGCCCTCCCTGAATCCCTGTGTACTGATTGCCTGGTGGGTTTTGCATTCAACCTTTTAGCTTTTTAAGGAAGATTTCCCTATTCACAGAACAGCCCATCCACATGCAGTGCTCAGAAATAATGTTGTGGCCGCATCCATGTCTGCCTCATAGTGTTAGGGTTCACAAGATATTTTCTCATTGCTACAAATAATCATAGAACTACATCATTGGTATTTGCTGTGGATCCGCACTGCTAACTTCCCCAGTCTCTCATTTCTATCAAATAACTGTTGACTACATTCGTTGTCTGACACTGCCCACAGGAGTGTAGTAGTCGCATCCCAAACGTGATCTGAGTGGATGTAGAAGTTGATTGCAGCCTTGTACAATAAATGCTGCACCACTGAGAAATGCAGAAGGAAAAAAATAAAAACAACTGAAAAAACCCAATGCAGAAGTTAAAAGATGAAACCAAAGCTAGAACCATCATCAAGGTGAGGTGGTGGTGGGCTAATTCATTTTTCTGAATGTACATAAACTATGAACCAGAATCCACTCTAAAAAGGTGGAGCCGAGGTGGAGCTCTGAACAGCCTGGAAAACCTGGCCTAAAGAAAATTCCAGGGTGAGTGGTGGAAGAAGGGTGGTGGGGGATAATCTGAGGGGCAAAGAAGATAAGGAAGAAGAGAGTCGGCACTTTGTTAATCTGGAGCGTGCAGTATGGGTACACCGATGGGTGCAGAAAGCAACAGTTACAAGGTGTCAGCACTGTCAAACACTGCACTTCCCAGGAGGCCTGGTGAGAGAGGCTAAAATACTGATGAGACAAAATCCTTGGAAGATCACTCCCAAATGCTGAATATTGCCAGTGCAAAGATTCTGGCTCCTCATGGTCTCTTTTTCCCAAGGCTGACAATGAGGAAGAGAACCACAACTCTTCCCACCTTCCAGGTCACCTGCACAGCCGGGAACTGTTGGGACAGGCACCCCACAGAACAGATGTGTGTGGCCCTATTGTAAATTAGAGATAAGTCAGATGATACCCAAGCTTCAGCTGCGTTAGCCTGTGAGCATGCCTGGTCCTCTCACCTGAAGTCTTCCACGTAGGCTGGTGACCATGCTTTGAATGCAGTCCCCTTTGAGACCCTTTAGAGCCACAGCAAAATGAACTAAAACAATATTGGTGGCACTTGTGTATGGAGTGCAACAGAGCATGGGGCAGGGAGGGGGGCAGGAAATCTGCACTCGCGTCATTAAAACTTCATAATATGGAGGTGCAAGACAAATTAATTGTGATGAAGTGTGAGACGAGCTTTTGTGCTGGGGTGAACAGCAAACCGTAATTCTGACAGTTTCAGCTTCTAAATACATGTTTTTCTTACTATATACACTGACACACACATATGTAATGTATAAAATATATACAGAGAGATGAGCATGTCCGAAAGAGGGAAAGAACCTAAACTGGATTAAGAAGTTAGATGAAGCAGCTG